TCCGTCGCCCGGGCTGGGCCAGGCTGTACCTTTCTGGGCGAAGTAACGAAGGCTGGTGACAAAAGTCGCGGTGGTCACTCGTGGGAAGGGTTCAGCCTCACTTCGAGTGTGTAAGTGTTGCAATCCTAGCGGCGGGCTGCGCGCCAGGAGCTGCAGTGCAGAGCTGGGTGGGAAGGTGCTTCTCGTCAGAAAATGCTTCTTCATGGAAACCGAGCTTTTGCAGAAAACCAGCGCAAATTTGATGAAACTGAGGTGTATTTTGAGCCCTTCGCTGCCCACCCAGCAGGCCTGGGGCAGAGCACTGCAGCGATCACAGCCCTGGGTTTTCCATGCACTAAGCAAGCAAATAAATAGCGGTATTTTGAGAAGTGCTGAATAAATAGGATGGATTGTAGCAGTAGAAGACTGAAACTTTTACATTTCAGAAGTTTCCTGTCCTGATTAAACTTCCAAGATCTGCTCTGGTATTGTCTAATGTAACCTATGCCGAGTCCTGTTGCTTTTTGGTTTTCCTCCATTTTATCACCTATAAAGCAGAAAAGAGGGTTTTGTGTGTCTGTGGAATGATGGGATTTATCAATTAACTAGATCAGTGGCAGGAAAGCCAAAAATTCTCAAAATTCAGAATATTCCTTAATACAAGATGTGTATGTTTCTCTCTGACCTGGATCCCTTTGCTTTTCAGAGGTGATGTTTCTATCAAGTAATGGATACACCTGAGAATTCAGCCACTGTAGTCTCTATTATCATTTATCTTTAGGAGAAGGCAAAACTCCTCAGAAGTCAGCCTGCTCAAATTGTGGAACCCAAAGGTCTTCTGTACGTCCAGCAGAGAGAGTTTGCGGTAACTACCCCTAAGGATGGTATGTAGGAACACAAACATTTTTTCTTCTGTTGAAGCAGTGATTGTGAGAGCGGAGTTCTTACCATGTTTCTCTCCTTTAAAATAGGTTCTGTTTCCATTCTTGGGTCAGATGATGCAACTACCTGCCACATAGTTGTGCTCCGACACACAGGTATCTTTAAAGGATGTTCAGAACAAAACCAGTGTATTGATTTACGCTGCATTAATAAACTGCAATTACATGTATATAAACTTGACTCTCAAAAAGTCACATGATGTATTAAGTAAATGGGTTGTTCAGAGAGGTGGCGTGTGCAGTGTCAGCGGTTCCGTGTTCTGGTTCCTCAGTGAGCAGATGCTAAACTTGATCTGCTGCCCCGGGCAGGGGGTGGTGGCAGTTGCAGACCTTGGCTGTGCTCAGTGGTTTGGGCCTGCAGGGTTTGGTAACCACAGAGGTAGAATTTGTGAAAAGGTCCTCGCTATGGGCCTGGATTGGTGACATCGGAGGTGTTGCCTGGTCCTGACGCTTGTACCCTTCACATGAGTCCTGGTGATCTTGTCAGTGGGCCCCGAAGAGGCGATTGCCTCATTCAGTCAAGAGGCTGCTGTCCTGAGGGGGAGCGAGGTGGTGGTGGCTGCAGCTCTTGCGCTCCTGCAGCAGCATGAGCTGCCACTGGTTTCAGTTGTGGTAGTGCAGCGGCCTCCAGCAATGTCCTTCACATTAGACTGCTCGTGTCTTCCTCAGGCAGTGGAGCCACCTGCTTGACACACTGCGACGGGTCGGACACAGAGGCGGAGGTGTCGCTCATCGTGAGTTCAGTAAAATCTTTCTCTAACACCCCCGGATGCGGAAGGTCAGCTCGGCTCTTACTTGTGTACTGTTTTTCACAAAGGTTACTGCAGTTTGTAAGGTGGGGAAGTTTTATGGGATTATATATGGGCTTTGGACAAGGTAATTTTGTAGGAAATATCTTTTAATCAGGAACCCCACTAAAGCAAAAATAATTTCCTTCGTGGTGGTTTTGAGGGTGTTTTTAGCAGTGCTTTAAAGCACGGTTCTGTTCTGAATAGTGTCTCTGTAAAATGCCACTGGCAGGTTTTGTGTTTATTGTTTCCCAGTTAACTTTTGTTTTGGGTACGTGAAATTTTCCAAAGAACTGATTTTGGGTTTATGTTATATTTTTCCTTCCAGACTGTTGGTCTTGTAAATTCCTTGGGGATCTGAGAATCCAGCTGGGATTTTTCCAAGTCCCACATTTAAAAAGAAAAAAGAAAAATAGGAGGGGGGACGGGACAGTGGGGAAAAAAAGCTGTGAAATGGGATTTAGTGAGCAAGGCTCTTTCTGGATGTGGAGGGTTTTACCCCTGTAGTTTGATACGAGCAAAACCTCAATGAACTTAGAAGATGTGGTCTCTAAAAACTCATGATTTGTCAGGGCTTCTCTTTACATAGACACTTCTCAAGGAAGAACCCTGCTGTATGGTGCAGAATAGTTGTAAGGAGGTCATGGGAGCAAAACTCTTCATGTTTAATGAACCCTTTCTTAAGAGCTGAAGTGTGGTTACTAGTTCAGTCCAAACCAGAGGTGCTGACCATCAGGGCCAGTGCTGGGTCAGATAGGGTCGCACGCATATAACGCCTCTTGGAGTCTGGAGCTTGTGCTATTTCCTGGGTGCTCCCTGCAGTGTTCAGAATGGGGTGACTGTAGCTCGCTGGGTAGTGCAAGCCAGCTTGGTGCATGTGACTAACAAGTGAGGCTTCTTTAACGATTGCTGTGCAGTTTGGGCTGGGGATTATTTTGTAAAGCTGTTCACTTTGGGATGTCTTTTTAATTGCTGTTTCCTGTTATTCCATCTCTGTTAGGCTGGAAGTGCACCTAGTTGGAGGTTTCAATGATGATAGGCAGTTATCACAAAAACTTACTAATCAGCTTCTTAGTAAGTTCACGTTTTTTCCACTCTCATGTCCAAAACCAAATAGTTCTGACTGGATTTGGGTAAAGCTCATTTGTAACCTGTCATTTAATGGAAAGAAATCTGGATTCCTTTTGAAGGGTGTTTTCTCTACCTGAGAACTTGCTGTGGAGAGGGGTTGGACTTCTGAGGTTCCCATACAGCCGATGTGTGGGATGGCTTATATTCTAGTGTGTAGAATTGGGGGGGCAGTTCAGCTGGGCTTGATTCCTGGCTCTGCTGCCAGTAACGCTATGTGATGCTGGTCAGATGTAGTCACTGTCTAAATCTATACACGTGGGTGACTTCCTTAGTTACTGCTCGTTTCATACCTTAATGTGACGAGGTAAAATTTAATTATTGTTTGGAATTGTCTGATGAAAGGTGTTACGTCTGTTGATAACATCTATAGCACAGAGATGCGGGAGCGGTGCTTTACACACGGATTTGAAACGTAAAGTACCTGCTTACCTGTGAGTGCTCTGGCTTGTGCTGAGCGCTTTGTGTGGGGAAGCCTCGGCCCCGCTGGAGCGGGGCAGGGACAGGGACAGGGACGGGGCAGACTCAGGGTTGGAGGGAGGTGGCCAAGGGGATGAGCAAAAAGGAAAACAGAACTGGCAAAGGTCCTGGGATGCACCCTTGTGGCCATCGCATCGAGGGATTCCTCTTACCTATGTTACATGTCCTATGAGAGTTCTGTGCAGAATAAAGCGGTTTGGTTAATTTATTTATGTCGGCCTTCAGATGCAGCTTTCGTGCAGCAAGTTACCATTTGGCAGAGTAACACCGTGCTGCTATTAGAACTTCAAAAAAAAAGAGGTTTTTTTTTTTTTTTTTTTTTCCTAGCGTGTGGGATGGTGAAGAGAAGAGTTAACTTACGGCTAATGAAAGGCTGGGTTGGCTCGGTATATATGTGGCATCTTAGGGAAATACATTGAAATATAAGCTGTTGCACGTGGTGGACTAAAGCAGGGCTGATGTGATGCCAGAGCTAACCCAGCGTCAGTACAAGGCGTCAGTGGCACCACACTTTTTTAGCATGTTTTTGCTATTACAAATGGCTACTCTGTAAACGACTCCTATGTTTAGTCGCCGTGGCTTTAATTTTAGAAAGGGCAGTGAAGCAAATCTGCAAAATGCTCTCTGCTCTGTTGCCTTACCCAGGAACAGTGTGTCAGGTATCTCTGCCCAGCTGTTCGCAGTGCGCAGCACTGATAATGCCCCTCATCTATGTACAGCACCTGCTTTGCCAACAGTCAGTCTTACACATTGCTGCTGTCGTTGTTGCTGTAGGAGCGTTCGATCTCCAACCAGATGACGTTCATTTAGTGACTTTCTGCGTAACAGGTAAGAAAATGTTTCCTTGGTTTTTGAAGTATCCTTAGCCACTGCAGTTGAAGTGCAGGGGTCTTCTCACACGTGGCTTTTTTATCCGTCCTGTAGGAATAGTGTGAGTCCTCCGTAACAGTTTGTAATTGTGTTGTCTTACTGCTGGTAGTGTGTGAGCTGATGTCAGACAGACAACGCCACGAGGATTCTCTCCTTAGCAAGGGCTGCTGATTTGCAGCTGGTAGTTGAACCTCCCGCGATCGTTGCCAGGTTATTTCGCCACCCTCGTGCTGCGGAAGGAGGCTGTGTCCTGTGGGTATCTACGATGCAATTGGGAAAGGCACCTACAGAGCTTTGACCCACCAGGTTGTTGTCAGGCCTACCTGCCTCCCTGCAGGTTCCAATGAATTCAGAAATGCATTCAGGTAGTTCAGAGTGTGTGATGTCACTAAAGGAAGAAGTAATTTCCTTTTCTTCATATCGCATTCAGGTTTTATTTCCATCGCCTTTGCGTTTCAGCACTGTTGGTGACTTACGTTGTTGAAACTTGGCATCACGGAAGTTTTGCATTGTGGGTTTTTTCCTCTAAATTGCCCGGGCAGAAAGCGGAGGGACGGCTGGCTGGTGCTGCCCGTGCTGTTAGGAGATGCTCACAGTTCTGCTCCAGGCCCCAGGTGCATTACTGACCTGGTCCTTCTCTCCCCTATTTTTTTAGGCTTCCTTGGGTTTTTTTCTGTCTTTATACAATGTCAGATCTGCTCTTCTCTGGTAATGCACGACAAAATCAACGCTGCTCAGAAAAAAATCCAAAGCCCTTTGAGGTTGACTCTTGTTTTTTTCCTTACAGAACTAAACGACAGAGAAGAAGAGGATGTTCACTTCCCAATCATCTACGGAATAGGTGAGTTGTTAAATTAGAATGACATTGGGGTTTTTTTTGGGGCTGGCTTGCTTTTCAGATTCCAGTAGTACAGGGGCTGCTTTGAATGACGAGGTAGAGCCCATCCTCAAAGTTAAGTGCTGGTGTTGGAGGTGCGGGTCAAATGGAAGTTTTCTCTCGGCCCCACTGTTAGGCAGCTGCGCACGTGGCAGCGGCTCTGTACAAACACAAGCAGATTTTTTTCATTTAACTGCACTTAGGATTTTGTCAGTATCAAGCTACTGTACTGACCTTTGGGGTTAGAATCCCAGCCTTCTTTTCACTGTTCATTCTGTATTTTCTCCTATTAGTTTAAGTATCTCTGAAAATGTTCTGGAATATGGAAATGCTGACAAGGCAAAATTGGTAGAAATAAGTTGTCACAGGCTGAGGGGCCTGTGGTGTGGAGACATACCAGAGTGGTAGTTGACAGATTCTGAAGTTCCTGCAACACAGTTGCGCATGTCGCTTTAAACCAGTATTCTGTAAGAATTAATTGTTTCTGTATTTAAACTCTATTTCCTACCAGCTGTGAATGTCAAAACAGCAGAGATTTTTCCTGCAACCTTCCCAGAAAAAGGGCCGGACGAGGATTTGCGTTCAGCCCATGTTTTAACAGGAGCAACGGTGAGTACAAACAATAGGAAAAAAGGGTATTTTTGCTGGAAGGGGAGGCCAGTTGGGGCGATGAAATGTCAGAAGTTTGAGGAAAAAATACTTTAGTGGTGTTCTGTCAGTAACAAAACAAATGATGGAAGAGCAGAGGCAGCAGGTAATGGTGGCGCTCAAACCACTTCTGCTGGGGCAGGCTGTGCCCTGGCAGCATGGCACTCACGTGCCATGGGGACTGACCCTGCGGCCTCCAGCAGCATCGCTTATGTAAAGAGATTTGGGTCACGGGCACGAGCCGACCACTTTCTTTCAGTTCTGGGTTTGTTGTTGCAGTTTAATGTCTTGTTTGTCAGAATGTTTGTCAGGTTCATCTCAATGCAATAGGAACCAGGGGGGGCTGGGCTGGCACGCAGCGTGGCTCAGGCAGAAGCTGCAGCTTAAGGCCTTCCAGATTAAGTGAAGTTGCCATCTCTTTCATCTCTGTAAGCACTGGCTAACTCCTCAGGCTCCCTGTGTTCCTACAGCTGACTAACATTTACGATGCAAAGATGGAACAACTACATATTGGGCCTTACTTCTGGAGGCCTTTCCCCCACGTGGATTTCTGGTTGGAACAAGATGATAAACAGATTTTACAGGTACAGATAAACAGACTTTTCTTTTTTTTTTTTTTTTCCTTCTAGCTGAGTAGAGAGGGGTACAGTCTGTCAAAATTTTTCCCAGTGTACTGCTGGGGAGGGTGGGAAACTCTCATTAAAATGCAGCATAATCGAGAACTGTGTATTCTGAACATTAAGCAGCTCTTGCTACCATCTTGTTTTTCAGAATCTTTCCACATCGCCCCTGGCTGAGCCACCCCATTTTGTTTCCCACATTAGATCTACATTAACGTTTTTAAAAGAACATCCCTTTCCATCTCGCTCCCTGTTTCCTGACAGGAAACCTCGCATCTACAAAAAAAATGAAGAAGGGCTGTGGGAACAGGTTTGTTCAGACAAGATCTAAACTGGAACCAAACACCACACCTGCTTTAGGGATGTACAGTCTTGCAAGAAGAGCAGTTTGTTGCAAAAAGCATAGTGCTGGTTACAAAACCCATTGTTCCTGTGCTTTTCAAAATAAAATATTTTGACAGAAGTAACTTGCTTTTTCTGCTCCTTTGAAGACCTTGGCTGTTTTGTGTTCGCTGGTCCAGTGCAGTCATTTGATCAGCACACAGAAAGAGAGGGAGCAGTGCTGGGAGACGGGGAAGTCACTGCATCGGTGGGTACTTTAGAAAGTGATTTTTCCACACAAAGTGAAAGAAAGTTGCACAAACTTAAGGCTTACAGAAACAGAGGAAGTATCCTTCAACAGTAACTTAATTCAGGAGTAATAATTTGAAGAATCTTTATTGAAACATTCAGAGAGTATCTAAAGAATGAAGCTCATTCCAACAAAACTACTGGTTTAACATTTCCAAATATAAAAACATTAAAAATTAATCCTTGTGGTGATAATTTTATCCCCAGCAAATTACTCTTATTAACATACTTCATTGCACCAAAGAAACCAATAAGGAAGACTAGTCAACTTAATTGTTTTTGCGCTTTAGAAAAAATTGCACTCTGATTTACATAAATTACCCCGACAGCAAAATTAACCTTGTTCCTGGCATCCCAGCTCCACAGGATCTAGAAGCTGAAAGTCAAATCTGGTGACAGTAAAATTCAAAACCCCCAGATTTTTCAGATTATCAAAGTCACTCCTACACAGCCATTATGGTGTTAACTTACATCTTTTAGGGGGAGGGGAAAAAAACCCAAACCCAAACAAAGCAAACTGCAGTATTTGTAACCCGTTCTATAGGCATGGGATGTTTTTTTCCCACACTCGGGTACCCTAGGGAAAGCAGGCTTTTCTGCAGGTCTCCTTTCCTCAAGAAGCCCTGCAGAGTTGCAGCAAGTGATTAAGAATCGCTGGGGGCAGGGAATTCTACACCTTTAGCTTTTGATTTATCCAAAGCCTTGCTTGTGCATTAAGTAGCCCTAGAGATGTGCTGTAGTGTAAATAACCTAGAGAATTTCTTTGAATCTACACAATTCCTACCATAGGTAAGTGACTGTTATTCAAAAGTAAGTGTTGAAACCATCACAAATGTATTGGCTTTTCCAAGCTTTACTACACCTATTTTTAAAAATACAGAACAGAGGGAACTCCAGTTACACTACATAAGCGTGTTCCATAGTATTTGGTTTAAAAATGCCGTGCAAAGGAAAATAACGGTGCGTTGGTGATTCTTTCCGGAGGCAGAAGCAAGAGGCCGTGAGGCATGCAGAGGCACTATTTCTTTCTAAAAAGGCTTAAAACGCGTTAGCTCAGGCCCCGCTGTACGTAGGGCCTCAGCTGAACGGGGCGAGTCATACAACGGCAGCAAAAAATGGCTGATGGCAAAGTACTATTCGGTGACTTGTATTTACACAGGCATCCATCCTAAAGCCCGCCACACCACAACTGTTTGGCAATGGTCTTCGTAAGGTTAAAAAAAATAAAGAAGCAAAACAGCCAGTGTGACTTCAGCAAGTGTTTTGCAGGAGAGGCTAAACTGAATTTTAAATATTAAAAAGTGAACAATTGGCAGTTGATTTTCTTTTAAAGTGTATTAACATAAAATAAGATCATTTTACAATTACTGGGTGCAACTTAGTCTTGTGTACGGCTGAACAGTTAGTTAGCAACTATTATCATGCTTAGATTCCTACAAGAAGGGTAACTGCCAGTTGGTTTTACGAATGTTCATGAGCACTTCATAAGTTTCACTAGTACTTTGGTGACACGGACATGTAGAGGATTAAAGCAGCTGCAACAACTGTATGGTAAGACAAATCTCTGTCCCGTGGTGGGAATTTATATTTGTGCAAAATCCAAGTTAATAAGTTACAGTAGTTGTTACTGTACTAGCGTGTGGCACTGTTCACATGTTAAATGCATCATTAATACCCTGCTGCCTCCCAGGGCACGGGCTTCCTCTGCACAGTCTGAAAGCCACTGTCTGGGTTTTATCTTTGACTTTCTTGTTCCTCTACCTTTGTGCGGTCGTGTGGCGGTTTGTTGCTTTGAATGTCCTCAGGGTCCATGTGTGCCACCTCCTTCTGCTCCTCTGGTTTTTCTGCCTCCAACGGTCCTCGTGCTCGGCCAGGGGATAGAGTTGGGGGTCTCTGATCCACCTTCTCCAGATCATCACAGTGGCTGACTGAACTGGTCTCACTGAATGCATCAGAACTTCTTAGAGACCTTTTAAAAATCTTCTGACCTGTCAAGTGTTTGAAGAATACCATACCAATGAAGGCAGCAAGTGCAAAACGTGGTACGCACAAGTTCAGTTTCAAAGAAAGTACCTGCATTTTACAACTGCAAAGAAACAGACTTTATTTGGGTGCTGACTTGCACCCTAAACGTAGCCGTAGTTTCTGCACACGTGTGCAAGGCAATAGCACCTGTTATTTTCTCTGACATACACAGAGACTGTTACAATTCAGCTGAAAACCAAGCTGCCTACATGCAGAGTGAAGCCTTTCTAGGGCAAGAACTTGCACTGAAAATGGCAGGCTGGAAGCCAACCAACTCAAGAGGGGAGTTAAAAATACAGTTTTCCTGCCAGTCAAATCAGCATTAAGTGCTAATACATCTACACAGGAAGTGCTGCAGATTTAATAGGTCTTCACTGTAGAATAACTTTGTCCACAAAATATGAGGTAGCAACAGAAATGCAGTTGCTCAAATACATGATTAAACATTATTTATGCTTTTATTCCAAATCAAACTTCTGGCGTGGTTACTTGCTAATTTTTAAAACTCAAGAACCTCATAATATTCCAGAGGAAGATTCCAGTTGTCAGTTGATGGGGTAACAACTTCCTGTACTTGCAGGAAGAATTCTTGGGGAGAAAACAGATTAGGGTGGTGTTCTGTGCCATGTTTAAATTAAGGTTTTTAAGGCACTAGAAGATGAGCTCTAGTTCCAGATACTACGAAAGATGGAAAATCATGTGTGTCTTCCTGTGCTATGCAAGTCAGAGGGCAGGATGTTTTAGCACGTTTTAGAAATAAAATTGAGATGTAGAAACTTACCCGGAAGTCTTTGCTTTGCAAGGCTGGAAGTAGGAGTTGGTGGCGGAGTAGTGCCTGCTCCTTGGGCTTTTGATACGTATGTAGATTCTGTGGATTCTAGACAGCCTGCAGGTTAAAAAAAAAGGTATCAAGTTGAACATAGCACAAACCAGACACGTTTTCTGTTCAGCTGTGTGTAACAATCTCATTTTTAATGCACGTTTCTGACACTGCATGTGCTAGGTTGAGTTGAAGCTGGCAGTTGATGGGGATCTATTTCCAAGTACCTGGGGACATGAGTGCTGAGACCTACAACAAGATGAATCAAGTTTGCCCTCACACTCACTTCACAATGCTGCTACACCCAGCAGTCCTTCCTCCCTTCCCCACTGGGCACTTGACACATTCCCAGCTGTGAGCTATCGAGCAGTGCGCTTGAAGGAAGGGGGAGCTAGCTATGAGGGGATTAAGTATCCCCAAGGAAACCTTGCAGTTCTCTGCTGTAAGAACCTTCCAGTTGGTGCATCAAGAATCAGAAAGAAAGATCTCAAATACAGCAGAAAACCTTCCTCGCTGTTTACAGAGACACACAGACAGCTGGGCTATTGTTCTAGGTCCAACAGACACTTCACTGAGTTCAGGAATATCCTTAAGACTCTGCCAGAATTTTTACAGTGAAAAAACTGTGATTTCAGAAAGTATTATG